AATTAGGGGATTTGACGTCCTTTTCTTATCTCGTGTTCAGGTTTATTTCTTACATTTTATGCATCATCATGCACGGTCATCAGTTATTTGATTTACAATTATGTTCTAATTATCCGTTCACACCACCTCAGATCTACGCATGTTTTCTGGGATTTCCTTGGCAGTTCTTTAGGGTCAAACATGTTCGCACCTATGTTATTCCCACTTACGTTACGGTCAAACACGTCGATACTGATGTTTTCCCTTACATTTCCTCTTAGTTACGCGAAGGATGCGCACCTGTATAAATAGGGGTTACCCCCATCTCGCTTAAGAGAATTAAGGACAAGAACTACTACCAATCTACCGTGATACAAAATTCCTCCTCGCTCAGCGTGCCCGCAGTATCCTCTTACTACTGTGTCGTACCTTCGTCCAAAGTTATTAAGATAGTGCTGTACCCACACATTTGAACACATCTGTTACTGACATTCTCATCCAATCTGCTAAGATAAGAGTTGAAGTAGCCATGCCCAAGTCTAAGTTGGGTGACAGTTGCAAGTTGTGGTCTGGAGAGTTGAAAGAAGTATGGTGGAGGATGGAGAGAAGGTAGGTGGAAGTGGATGGACCTATAATGTCTGCCCTGTTTAGCTGGTTGTAACTGTGTCCAGTACTGGTGCCGTGCTTTAATGGTAGACTGCTCTATCTGTGTCTTCAATTTGGTCAGTGAGAGATAACTGTCTATATCAGGTTGGGGATACTTAGCTGCTTGTTTTGCCAGAGTGTCAGCTTCATCATTACCTGGGATACCAGTGTGGCCAGGTTCCCAATGGAGATGAAGCTGTAAGTCCAGGTCAGAGGATAGAAGGTCTTTTGTAAGTTGTTGAATCTGTTGAGAAATTTGTTGTCCTGGGTGGGGAGAAAGTCTGTGGGAGTTGGTGATTGCTGCTTGGTTGTCTGTGAAAACCCAGATGTGCTTGACGGATAGGCTGGACCTGCTGGCTTCTGTGAGTGCTCTGGCAATACCTAACAATTCCCCATCATACACCTTCATCCCAAATCCTAATCCAACTCTCCATCTCCCAACAATCCCACCACCATGCATCATCACCACTCCTGCTCCTACTCCTCCACTCTGCAATTCACTTCCATCTGTGTAGAGAACAAGGTTTTCTGAAGGGTTAAAGGAGTTGACGAGAGTGATATGACTTTTTGCCGTAGTGTCTTTGTCTTCCTGGCTGATAGTGATGTCAAGTCTGGAGGTTGTGTCAGGTAGGTGGGTATCCCAGGCTGGTTGCAGGTATGGGTAACACTGTTCAACCTCTAGTCCTACAGGCAGGAGTGAACTTAGTGAATTTAATACTCTTATCAGTTGGGTAGGGAACTTAGCTGGCTCAGAGTCAGTTTTCCTCCAATCAACCTGCATCTTGCCATATGGCTCATACTGTGGATCCCACAAGTATTTTCTGTTATGTTGTTGGTAGGTAGAAGTCCAAGATATGTCACTCTCAGAGGAGGAGGAGCATGGTCTGTCTGGTGGAATCGCTGAGGCAATGGTGCTGGGGAATGAGCTAGGTGTTCTCTGCCTGATAGGATGGTCTGAAAGCATCTGTAAAACTCTGTAAGCATATCTCTTACACTGTCTGTCAAGTCCCAAAGGAACAGGAAGGGTGGCTGCTTCAATCTCCATTGCAGCAGTAGGTGAAGTTCTGCAAGCTCCTAGGATTCTTCTGTTTGCCTCTGCCTGCAACTTCTGTAATTTGTTAGCAAGTCCAATTTGTTCTTTCCACCAGACCTCTACGCCATAGTCAGCTATTGTGGTAATGCAGGTATACTATAGTTGCCTCATTGCTGTTACTGAGAGACCCCATTCTGAGTTGGATAGCCTAGAAATCATGTTAAGTGCCCTAGTTGCTGCTGCTGTCTTCTGCTGAACATGACAGTTAAACAAAAGCTTCCTGTCAAGCCAAACTCCTACCCATCTTGGTGGTGGGATTGTTGGAAGATGGAGAGTTGGATTAGAATTTGGGATGAAGGTGTATGATGGGGAATTGGTAGGTATTGCCAGAGCACCCACAGAAGCCAGCAGGTCCAGCCTATCCTTCAAGCACATCTGGGTTTTCACAGACAACCAAGGAGCAATCACCAACTCTCACAGACTCTCTCCCCACCCAGGACAACAAATTTCTCAACAGATTCAACAACTTACAAAGGACCTTCTATCCTCTGACCTGGACTTACAGCTTCATCTCCATTGGGTACCAGGTCACACTGGTATTCAAGGTAATGATGAAGCTGACAGACTTGCAAAACAAGGAGCTGAGTATCCCCAACCTGATATAGACAGTTATCTCTCACTGACCAAATTGAAGACACAGATCAAACAGTCTGCCCTTAAAGCCTGGCACCAGTACTGGACACAGTTACAACCAGCTAAACAGGGCAGCCATTATAGGTCTATCCACTTCCACCTACCTTCTCTGCATCCTCCACTACACTTCTTTCAGCTCCACAGACCACAACTTGCAACTGTCACCCAACTTAGGCTTGGGCATGGCTACTTCAATTCCTATCTTAGCAGATTGGATGAGAATGTTAGTGACAGATGCAGTTGTACTAAGAGCACACCACCACCACAGACACCAGAACACCTGATCCTATACGG